TTTTGTTCCAAGGTCACCCCAGGACCATGATAAAGTATCTTGTGTCTGGGACACAAGGCTGGCGAACAAACCAGCTGAGATTGTTCACCCCCACCTGGCCTATTGAGCTCTGCTTACACACACCTAGGGCAGCAAACTGCCCTTCTCCTCAGGTACAGAAAAGTTACTAATCTGCCTCACAGGATTAATGTGAGAAAAGCACTTAAGGCAGTGACCAGGTCCTCCATTTACGCTGACTCCCTGCAGCCTAGCAGAAACCATCCCAGCTGGGCTGCTGGTCACCCTCACTCTGGCTTGCTGCCTCATGGAACTCACCTTGTTCCTCTCGGGGTCTATGAGGCCTCAGCTCAATATGTCAGAAGCTAGGAAGTAAGCTGAGGAATCATGGGTCTTCTTTCCCTCTCTAGGAAGAACTCTAACATCCCGCACCCTTGCCCAAACACTGAAGGTCTAGCCTCCAGCTCTGACCCATAGGCTAATAAGAAGGGAAAGGAGCAGTAGTGTCATCTACTTTCAGCTGGGGAATGACGGAGGGAGGTCATATTCTCTGGGCCTTGCTCCACAGCTGCTGACCAGGTTTTCCAAAGGGCCCCCAGCCTTGGTCCCTGGGGGAAGAGGCCAGCAAGAGGAGGGAGGAGTCCGAGTCCTAGTCCCAGTTCAGCTGCTGACTTTGTGTGTCCCTGCCTGCATGACCTCGCAGCCCTCAGCTGCTTCAGACATCTATACAATAGGCCTGGGTGACTTAATTCTAATGGCCCAGCCCTGCACTAGATGCCTTAGGATCCCTTGAAATACAGGTAGTTCCTGCCCACCTGATCTCCTGCCTGCAGGGACAGGTGGTAGGAACAGGGACAGAGAGGCTGAAACCCCTGTGCAGCCAAAGCCCTGTCTTGTCACCACCCCCATGAGATCCCTAGAGGGTGAGACTCCAAAGCGGAAGTATCCTCTGGCAGAGGCTGATGTTTGCCCTGCAGCCTGAACTAAACCTCTGCTGAGTCGGAGCCCGCCCCATCCAGTTCAGTAACACTTCCTCCTATGGGTGTGACTGTGGAGTGGAGGGTGAAAAGCAGCCTGACTCACTCTCACTAGGTCTGGGACTTTCCTTTTTTTTTTTCGTGTCCGGCAATGGATCGCAACCCCCAGTGTCGCGCCCTCACCTCGCTCAGCCAGTGAGCGGGAACCAGTCTGTATGTGGGATCCGAACCCTCGG